GCATCCAAACCAGCTGAGAAGTTTCCTTCCATCTCCCAACGTTCTCAGGCCAGAGCTTCCAATGTCGCAACCTCACCTCAACTCTCTGTCTGTCCCAACCTTTGTTCACTTTCTCATCCTCATCCTTATCCTATCACCTCTCCACAAACAACTTGTACCTGATGTCTGTTCTTTCACACTTTTGTTATAGATCACAGGATAAACCAACTGATACAGACACAGCTGATGCCCCACTTCAGACTCTCTCCCCCACTCTGGGCTCACCTGCAGAGCATGGGCAATCCTCTGCATCACACCCACGTCAGGGGCTCCCGTACTGCTGTCCTCTGACTGGGCTTTCTTCTGTGCCTTAGGAGCTCATGCAGCCCAGGCACATGGCCTTCTGTGTTGCCCGGGGATTAAACACCCTCAGGGGTGGCCCTCAACCATGAAGTGATGGATGTCAGGCAATAAGCACCTGGTTTTCAAGGGAATAGTCCTGCTATGCATTTCTCACATTTCCACAGAGGATCTTCAGCTGGAAGGAGGCCCAGCCGCCAACTTCTCTCTTTAAAGCAACTTTTATTGGCTTTTCTCCCTTCACTGCCTGACCTTCCCCTCTACCTCCTCCCACCTTCCTGGAATCACTTCCCAAATAAATTGCCTGTGTCAGAGGCCTTGTCTATGGGTCTGTCTTTGGGGGAAACCCAAAAGAGATATTATTGAATCTATCTGTCAACAGGTCATTGGGTTATTAGGTTGCCATTTTTAGATTGCACTTGAGTGATTACAGATTACAGCCTCTCTAGAGAAATAAAAAAGAACCTCTTAATATGAAGGAGTGATAGTAGAGTTGGTAATTTTGGGGCACAATTATGTTTCATAGAGGAGACACTTGGAGACACACAGCACCCATAAATATCCCCTAAATACCTCTCCCAAACCCATACTTTCATGCTGTGCCCCATTTGAAAATGAGAACATGCCCTCCCATACTTACATGTACAAACACAATGGAAAAAAATTGAGTTTCCAGGCCCAGACAGTCTGCTTCATTCATTAGGGAAAGATATAAACTAGGTTTTCTCTATGGGGATCAATTTGAACTGCAAATAATGAATGTGGTCAAGGCTGAGAGAAGTCAGAATTGGTGCTACTAAATACAGCCATTGATTGATGGCCTGCTAAGAACCCAAATGGTCAATCGATATTCAAAATGTCTATGAGCCCTATAATTCAATTTAAATGGAAAAACTTTTGGAAGTTCAAGCCATTTAAAGTTTTCATTGTGCTCATATGCAGATATGTCTAGTGTAATGTGGAAATAAACTACATTTATATTTAAAGCAGATTATACCCAGGGTAGGGAGACTGGTATAGTAATAGTAATGGTCAGAGTATTGGCAAGGGAATTGTTTCCCCTTGTACAAATTTGTACTCCTATGTTTTCCATCAGCCTTTCACCTTCTAGATTTCTTATAACCTGCAAATCCTTTTATATTGTAATGTATTTATTTATTGAGCAGCTACCATACGAAAGACACAAAACTAGGTCTACAGAGATGAGCCGTATATAGTAATGGTCTTTCATAACCTTATGATCTAATAGGAGAGTTAACTAACACAAAGGGTTATATTTTCAAAATGACTTCACATGAATCAAAGATCTTTCCCAACATAAAGATTTATTAATAATTCAAGGAAATAAGCATTCAGAAAGTGCAGACAAAAAAAGAGGGAGGTCTAGGCTACCCCTTGTGGCTCCCAGGTCTTTACTTATACACTAAACCTACGCTTTTTGGGCCAGCATAGATAAAGTCTGTAAGTGAGGGTCATGGGTCACCACATAGCAGGGAGCATAGGTGTTAGGATGTATCTCCATTTAATACCCAAGAAAATTGTATAGTTTACAAGATAATCTCCGGGGAACCATGCTTCATAAATCTGTAGACCCCAGATACCTTTCCCTAAGCAAACCAGACATCCTGTTAAGATCAATCCACAGAAAAAGTTCTCCTCCTGTGGAATATCATTAGTCTATTTTCCAAAGGCACAGTTATGCCAAGAGGGAGATTTGTTCAGGTCACCTGCCTTCTTTTCTTTCCCTTGAGAGCATTGCCCAGTAATGGGGAGAAAAATTGGATCACAGGCCAGCTGCTTCAACTCCTTCCTCTCTAAGGAGATAAGACATATACCCAGAAACAAGATCCAACAGCAATCAAGAACTGTTACAAGATGTCAGGCAGGGCCTGGTAGAACTCAGAAGATGACAGAGCATAGAAAATTCCACTAGTTCTGAGAGTTCATCATGCATATCTTAAATTATCTGAAATTATGGCTCCCACCTATGGCCAACGTTTTCAGGGAGACCCAGGGACCAGTTGTGTACATTTTTTGAATATCTCAACCAAGCAAGTAGAGATATGTAAGTCCACAATGCTCAAGGACAGGAAACCAGGGTGAGTAGTTACAAAAGCCAAGTGCTGTTAGATTGCTCTTCTTGGGTAACATCTTGTAAGACAGGTGTCCCCCTTTCCATTGCCCCTTCCCTCGTTCTCTTACTACTCTCTCCATTTTCCTGCTCTCCTTCCCTTCTCTTTCTCTCTTTTTAATCCAATAGACATCTTGGTGTAGACATAAATAAATATATTTTATAGCATGTTTTTATAACATAAAAATCTTTTTATAATTGATTATTTATATAATATAAAATATATTCTAAATAATATGTGTGTGTGTATTTCTATATAATAATTGGTATTGATTTTAACAAATACTTGCTGAGGACTCCCTATGCAGTGTCAGGCACTATTCTAGGTATTTGTGATACATGCATGAACAAAATAAATAAAAAACCCTTCCATGACAGAGCTTCTGTTCTATCAGGAGGATATAAAAAACAACCAAGAATGTAATTAATAAGGAATCTATAGAGTTTGTTAGAAAATGGTTAGTGATGTAGAAAAAGGGAATAGTAATTCTGAAAGGGAGCAGGCTGAAATTTTAAGTTGGGTGTTTACCCTGCAATTAGAGGAATAATGGAGTTGGGGAGGGAAGCCTTATAGGCCCATTTATAGAATTTTGGTTTTTATTCAGAGAGAGAAAGGGAGCCATTAAAAGATTTTAGGCAGAGTGATGCTGTAGTCTGATTGATGTCTGCCATGCTGAGAAGACCATGGGGCTCAAGAGAAGCAGATCCCAGTTAAGACACTATTGCAACAATGTGGGAGAGTGTGTGTGGGGGTTGAGGGGGGTTGACTGAGGCCAGGGTAGTAGCAATGGAGGTGACAAGAGGCAGTCAGATTTGCATATATTTTTCAAAGGTGGAGCCATCAAGATTTCCTGACAGATCGGATATAGTGTGTTAGAGAAAAACAAGTCAAGGATATACCAGAATTTTGGGTGTGAGCAACTTAAAATTTGGGATTACACTCAACTGACATGGAGAAGATTGAGAATGGAGCAAGTCTGAGAGTGTGTGGGCTATTAACTGTTGTCTCTCAGCTTCATGTTAGCCCATCTATGCTCTGCTCTGTACTTCTGGGGCTAGGAGTCTGCAAACTCTATTTTCCAGGCTCTCTTATTATTTGGATTCCAGAAGATGGGAGGAAGAGAGAATCTTCCTGTTTTTGGGACAATGTGATAGTTGCTGTCAGTTGCTGAAATGAGAGTGGGTGGAGTAATTCTGAGCAGCCCACTCAGGGGCAACAGAAATCTGGCAGTTTCAGTACTGATCCGGCAGATCCAGCCCTGGCATAACCGCACCTCCAGCAGTGCAGGCCTGTGAGCTCCAGCACGGGGCAGCAAGCAGCTCCTAAGGTCTTCCTCCAGCATATCACCCCTTCTTCCTTTATCACTTCCAGACCCATCCCCTCTCCCTTCTGCACTTCCAGACCTTCTGAAACCTACATGACTTCCCTCTATTGAAGCACATAATGTTGTTTTGTTTTCCTGATTGGACCCAACTGGCATGGGGGAAAGACCAAGAGTTTACTTTTGATATGGTAAGGTCAAGAGGTCTATTGGAAATCCAAGAGTTGATGTCAGGTAGGCAATTACATTTATGAGTCTGGAGGGAGTTAGGTTACCCTCTTTTCTTGGGAAAGCAGTCTGAGTTGGAAACATACTTTTGTACATCCAGATGGTATTTGAAGTCATGAGGCTGAATAAGATGACGAAGGGAGAGAATGTAGATTGAGAAGACATCCAGGGACTGAGCCATGGACACTTCCACACTAAGAGAAAGCTGCTGTGAATGGGCCCAGTATTATCATATAATGAGCTAATTTGAGTTATTAACCCTTCTGAGTCTCATTGTCCTTGCCTGTAACAAGAAAATAACAGCAGTGGCAGTAAGATGGCCGTGAGAATAAAATATTTGTAATATGCCTGATAAGCAGTAAACAAGTTTTAAAAGTTAGTTCTATTCTCTCAACCCAAGTTTTTAGAAATCTAGTAGGCAAATGATTACATTTTAACATCAAACAATTTCTAAATATAGAGATGATGAAAAGCCTGAATCATTCTAACTCAATAAGGCAGTGAACCATGACGTCATTAGCAATGTTCTCAGGAAGTGAATGAGAACCTCAACTTGCCTGTTAAACTTGCCCCAGGTCATGCCTAACCAGCAGGTTCAAATGTTAGACAAACAGGTAGAATGGCTTACTCTGCTTTTGTTTCTTTTGTTGTTTGTGATCAGATCCCTTAGTACTGCACATACTTTGAATGATTACATGGATTCATGCCCATCTTTTCTCTCTCTGTGTCCATTGTCCTTCCACAGCTATCTTTGGGTCACTGGTTTCAGGCTACTTTTGGAGGCATCTTAGTTTTTTTGACTCATCTACACCTAAACTGTTTGGAAGTTTGTTGGTAACAAGGGCCCCAGAGGTTTCCTGGGTCGTGAGTGCACTGGGAACCTCCTGCTGCTCTGGGAAAGGTCACAGCTGGGCAGCTTAAGCTCTGTTGCTTATACTTATGCTGGTTTGCTCAGGCTGCCATCCCAAAGCACCACAAGCTGTGTGGCTTAAACAGTAGGAATTTATTTCTCACAGTTCTGGAGACCAGAAGTCCAAGATGAAGGCCTCAGCAGGTCTGGTTCCTTCTGAAGCCTCTCCCACTGGTGTGTAGATGGCCGCCTTCTCCCTGTGTTCTCCGGCGGTCTTTCCTTGGTGTGTGAGCACCCCTCGTATCCCTTTGTGTGCCCCAGTTTCCTCTTCTTAAAGGACATTAATCAGATTGGATTAGAGCCCATCCTAATGGCCTCATTTTAACTTAGTCACCTCTTTAAAGGCCCTGTCTCTGAATACAATAACATTCTGAGTAACTGGGAGTTAAGCCTGACATATGAATTTGTGGGGGACACAATTCAGCCCATAATGAGGACTGACTTAGAGACTTACAAAATGAGATCCCATTTAGGCCCATAAGACATTGGGTGACTTACAGGCAGAGGCAAAAGGAACGTCCAAAAGAGAAGACTCTAGTGGACCAGAAGAAGTGTGCTGCCGTATGAATTGTGAAATCTGCGAACCAGACATTCTTGTGTGAACCAGATAAGCTGACCCACACCCAACCCTCTTCATTCCTCCTGGGCTCACTGACAGCTGTATGCTTTCAGGGTAAAGGCGACTTCACCTCCAGGTTGGACACAGGTCTCCTCATCCAGGGTCCTACTCAGGGAATCAGGAGCTATTGATTAATGAACAATGGGAGTTCACCAGGAAAAACCCACTGATGTGATCATCAGCAGTGACTCGATGGTGACTGTCACACCTCCAGGGGAGCATTCAACTCTTTTAAAATAATGGGCTGAAATATGCTGCATCCTTGCACTTATCTTGCAGCTGCAGTGGGAGAGAGAGAACAAAGCAAGAGCAAGTGGGATCTTAGAAACTATAACCAGAGCCCTGACAATAAAGACAGAGTGGCCTTTGTGTCTCTGGGCCATCCTACACTCTTTCCAGCAAAGAGTTTTCTGCCTGGATCTTCCTTAATCTGCTTGGCCTTGGGCAGGAGTTTGGGGGGGGGGGGAGTTGCTGTTGTTTGAACACCTGGCCAGAAAACTTAGGTATCACTTTACTTTGTTCTTTTCAATCTGGTCCATATCCAACTCCTTAGGAGAGACTGCTTAGCCTTGCCCCAAAAGGACACCTAGTCCAGACAGGGTGATACTCTGTAGGTAATGCTAGCTGCTGTACCAGATAACCCCAAACCTCAGGGACCTAGCACAATAGAAGTTTCTGGGCAGCAGGTGGCCTACACTCCACATGGTCCTTCAAAGATTCAGATACCTTCTATCTGTGGTTCTCTTCTCTAGGGGATCAGAGCTGTTTACATTCATATGGGGGAAAAGAAAGAAGGCTCACAGGTAGACCAAAAAGTGGCATTCATTATCTCCAATCACATTTCCTAGAGCTTAGTCCTATGGCCACACCTAACAGCTAGGGAGGATGGGGAATGTAGTTGGCCAAGTGCCCAGGAAGAGAAGGAGAATATGATATTCAAGAGCACCATAGTCTCTGCCACAAGGGTCTACCAAGAAATATCAACTGTTTCCTAATTACTCTTAAGAATCCGGGCACATCATGTAAAATAAACAAAGATCAGAAAATGGCAAAAACTAAGAATCTCCCATTCTTGATGTAACTTGTTGGGAGGATAAGACATTATTCCAGAGCAAGAAACAAGGCCTTTGGCTTACACAGGCTTAAATTCAACCTCTGGTTTCACCACTTTCTAGTTATGTGGACTTGGGTTAAGCTCCTTAAACTTCTCTAGACCTCAGTTTTTTGCATCTGTAAAATCTAAATGTATCCACATAAAACTGACCATAGTGGAAGCCTTTTCCCAAGACTTCTAAGATGATTAAATGAGGTCATCATTATGGGAAATACTCAGCCTAGTGCCTACAGACACTGAGGGGGAGTTGTTACTATTAAAATAAGTGGCAGAGCCAAGATTAGAACACAGTTTGCCTGGCTCCAGTTCATGTGTCTTTCCACTACAATATTCTCTAGAAACAGCCCACAGAGAATTACAAGCAGTAACTCTGTCTTCCTCTCCTGGACTACACAGGCTCAGGGGAGAGAGGGGTCTTTTCTGTGTGTCACTTCTTTGATTCCAAGACACCACCCCTGCTATATGCTGCATGTCCCTCAATACCTCCTTTACACATCTGCATAATTATTTTGTGAGAGGTCCTAGTTGGGGGAGTCATCCTTGGCTGCATCTAAATAGAAACTGAGACGGAGAGGAAATGGAAGAAATGGAGACAGAGGATGCTTTGCTTCCCAGGTGGCTACTCCCAAGGGATGCACTCAATTTAGATGGGGACAAAAATCAAATGCAGTGTTAAAGACCAAAGAAATTAGACTACACTTTTTACTGCCCTGGCAATAGTAAAGTTATCCTTTCATTTGCATTGATAAAAAGCATGTTCCCTGAGCTCAAACAGTCAAAAAAAACATATAAAGGAGGTAGTCCTCTGACTATAGGGTTCTCATCCTTAGCTGAACATTAGAATCATCCGACAGCTTTGTAAAGTATCAGTGCACCACTTCCACTCCACACTGGACTTACTAAATCCAAATCACTGTGGTTGGAGACCTAGTCCTCACACTGTCTAAGTGTCCAAAATGATTCTAACATGCAGCCTAATAGTCTAATATTAGGACCATAAAACTGAGAAATAATTTTAAAGACCAAATACTTCCATTGAATATAAAACAACATTTTGATCTATTTCTCCTATGGCTGTATAACAAATTACTACAAATTTAGCAGCTTAAAACAATGCAGATTTATTACCTTACAGTTCTGGAGGCCAGAAATTCAAAAAGGGTCTCACTGAAAAAACCAAGTGTTGGCAGGGCTGCAGTCCTTCCAGAGGCTCTAGGAGAGAATCCATTTGTCTTTTCCAGACTCTAGAAACCACCAGAATTCCTTAGCTTGTGGACCCTTCCTCCATCTTCAAAGCCAGCATCACATAACATCTTCCAATCTGTCTCTCTGCCTCCATGCTTACATTTTCTTCCCTGATGCTTATAAGGACCCTTGTGATTACCCTGGGCCCATCTGGATCATGCAAGGTAATCTCTCCATCTCAAGGTCTTTAATGTAATCTCACCTGCAAAGTTTATCTTGTCATGTAAGGTAATGTGTTCACATGTTCCAGGGATTAGGACATGTACATCTTTGGGGGTTCATTATTCTGCCTACCTCAGGAGCTTTTAAGAATGGTGAAAGGGTAGCAGGGGCAATCAAAGTGAGATTACTTTTGGCTGCATAGCTGGGTAAATTTTTTAAACTGCTTAGATCCTGAGAACAAGACGCAGAGTTGCATCCTATCACCTGGGAAAAAGCAGAGAGATTCAGGCAAGAATTCCACACTGCTTCTCACTACTGCTTGCTCTTTCCCTATTGTCACCCAACAAACTCCCCAACAAATTTTTAGATTTCTAGGCAGGCTACTAGAGAAAGGCCTTAATTCTTCTCTAAGTAAGTAAATTCTGAGGGAAAAAAATAGAAAAGTAGGTTTTCTACTTTTATCCAGAAAAACATCGTTTATAATAAAAAGGGGAAAAAGTCCCTTACATGTGAACACAGGTGAGCCGTTGAAGCACAGCCACCCATTTCTTTTCTTAGCTGGAACACGTGTGCATGTGCCCATAGGCGTGTGCTCACAAGCTGACATTGCTCTCCAGCTGGAAATCCTTTTAAAGAAGAGGGAGGATCTGCTGTTACTCTTGCTCTCGTCATCCATGGGAGAAAAAACCCCTGCAAACAGACAGGTGTCAAGGCGCAGAAAACTCTTCTGAAATTCTCCAGGCTGAATATCCCATTTTCTCCATCATTTCTAATCAACCTGATGATGAGGCATTGTCTTCCTCCTAAGGTCTCACCTCATGCTGCTTGCAATTGCAAAGGAGATACTTTGATAGATTACAAATTGTTTTCAGTAGCTGACCTAGACATAACATCACCACTTCCTGATTATATTGATATGTGTTTCTATTATTTGCTTATTTGCGCCTCCAGAAACAATTCTTTTTTGTTGTTTTACTGTAAACAGCATTGCAAGGTCTCTGTATTAAATCATAATTATTTACCCATGCAGTTCATGCACCTTTGTCCCTGGGGAATCTGGTGACGTGAATTTACAGGAACATTGGGGTATTTCTCACCAACAGTTTCCTGTTATTGGTATGCTTTTGTTTAGTTGTGATTTTTTTTTAACTCATTCAGTTTCTCAAGGGAAAAATAAACAGGCACGTGACAATTATCACAGTCATGGGATATCATCTGGGAACCTCACAAACGTGTTTTCATCAGGGACTGGGCACTCTAGCAAGGCCAAATGTTATGGAATTGTATATAGACAGACAATTGGTTATCATTCATTTGTTCTCTTGGTTTTCCCACATGCTTCAGATAGCTATCTTGTGAACGTGTATTACGTTATGTAGGACAACTTCCACAGTCTAGAAAGGGCCTGTACTAAAAAAGAAAACAACACAAGAGGTTTATCAGTGAGAAATCATTGACTTTTCAGATCTCTTAAATATAGGAATCCAATGTTTGATTTTTTATCTGACAAATAACAACACAGTTAGTCTAATCAATAGAGACTAGGACTCTCGTGAGCTGGAATATTCATGCCAATTAAAGTAAAAAAACTGTGTTACTTAATTACTGAATTGAGACTTCACAAAACTTGGAAAGATATGACATGTACCTAAGTTTTTAGGTCTTTTCATTTCCTGCATACACATTTATTTTGATTTTCAGTGTCCATTTTGAGTGAAAAACAAGAATCCTTATTCTCAAAAACATTCTGGAAAACAGCTATTTTTATGACTCCTCTTTTCTTTATCAATATGCTTACAAAACATATGCTGAAGATTGACATCAGCAAGTGACTTTCTGGAACTACACTGTCCAATATGGAGGACCTAGTCACATGTGGCTATTTATTAAAATTAATTAAAATTAAATAACTAAAAATTCAGTTTCTCTATCACAGTAGCCACATTTCAACTGCTCAATAGCCACATGAAGCCAGAGACTATCATATGGACAAGCATAGATTATTAACATTTTTATAATTAAACAAAGTCCTTTTGCCCACAGATGTTCTAAGATGTTCTAACTCAACTTGCATTAAAATCCAACAAGTAGAAAGTTAGTACCTTTTGAGATGAACATTTACTCATGGAAATTGCAGCTAAACTTTCCATAGATTGGAAAACTTTATATTTCCTACAATGACAGTGACCTTTTTAAACCTAACATCCCATCTCTACATTCCTCTGGCCCCCTCAGTTTTTGTTCATTTCAGAAACAGGTTATAAAGTACAGTTGATCCTTGAACAACACAGATTTGACTGTGCTGGTGCACTTACATGCAGATTTTTTTCAGTAAATATCATGTAAAATTCCTTGGAGATTTGATATAATTTGAAAAGATAATTTCTTTTCTTAAGCTTACTTTATTTTAAGAATACAGTATATAATACATATAATATACAATATATGTGTTTATCAACTGTTTATGTTATCAGTAAGACTTCCAGTTAATAGTAGGCTGTTAGTAGTTAAGTTTTCAGGGAGTCAAAAGTTGTATGTGGATTTTTGACTGCATGGGGTAGGGAGGGTCAGTGCCCCTAACCCCCGCATTGTTCAAGGGTCAACTGTATATATATATATCTGGTAAACCTGAACCATGAGTCAAGAATATAAAAAAGGATTGTGAAGCAATATTTTTTCCTGGGGCAATAGTGCTTACTGAGGCCAACTGACAATCTGCCTGATGCTTATTCATTTTCTTTGCCCTTCCTTTAAAATGTCAAACTTAAATTCAGGTTAGGTGGACATCAAGGCATGTAGATTTCAGATAAATGAGTTGTTTGAAAAAATTCCTTTCATGATGTTTGTCCTTAGCATCAAGCTCCTTCCTTTTATAGTCTCTCAAGTGTTATTAACCATCTCCCACCCCTGGACTCACCTCCAGCCTCTTGATGCCTTAAATATGCTACAAAGAAGGACTGAGAAACAAAGTCTCCATCTTAGATTTTGATTCTTGGATCTTACACTTACCTTGAGCCATATGACCTAGGGAGAGTTACTTCTTTCTGAGTGAGAACTTCTCACTCCTACAAAATGAGGGATGCTGCTTGGAATATCTACTCCACAAGGTGGCTGTAAAAGCCCAATGAGATGATAAATATGACAGCACCATGTAGGTAGCAGAGCACAACACAGTTATAAGTGACTGCTGTTAGTAGTTATTTTACATTATTTGCCTTATATGAGGGTCTGAAAGTCACAGCATCTGGGAGTCACATAGAAAGAGATACTGAAACAGTATCCAGTGTATAGAAAGCCCAGGAAAACTGCACTTGTCAACTGAAAGATCCTGTATCAGCATTTTTCACCTTGTTTTAGAAATGAGAAAATCAACACTCAACATTAAAATGCTTGTCTAAGACCCCATAAGCCTTGGCTAGTCAGGGTCACTGGACATTGTATACTAAGGTTCCTTATTAGAAACTAATATAATCTAATTTATATAATCTAATTCTTAAATCATCTAATCTGGGTGTTGTTTTAAAAACTCTATTCAATAAGAAATAATATAACTGTAAGCTTAACAGAATAAACAAAATCAGTATTACAAAAGGGGAGGGGAAACATCTATCCAAATAAAGTATTTATAATTTATACACAGTTGGTTCTATTTTTTTACTTAAGCTTCACTGGAAGATCCTTTTCTAAGCAAAGAGAAAAATAACTTTTGTTCTATCCCTTTTGTATTTAGTCATCTTAGATTTGATTCTAAGGAGAAGGATTTCCTTGTTGATGAAAGAATGATTGATTTTTAAGTCATGGAATGAAACTACTGCCAGGACTCTACCAGCCATGGCAGTTCATGCAACAAATCTCCGACTAGGCTCCCAACAAGCCCCTGCTGGTCCTCCTTGCTGTTTGGGGATTTGCATGCTCAGGGTGATGTTAAAGCCCTGAAATCCTCACGGCAAACCTCACGGCCAAGTTCTCTGTTGGACACCTATACAGGGCATTGCACTGCAGTTTCAATAGTTTCTCTTTTCCAGCATGGTATTTATCATCTGGAGGTAATTGACCTCACTGCTCCTCAGTTTCTTTATATGCAAACTGCCTCCCTTACAAGAGGTGTTGTGAAGACTGCACACAATATCCTGGTTAGCATGCCAGCATAGTGTTTGGCACATGATAGATAGGCAATAAATCTAAGTTGATCTTCTCTTCGCTCTTGCATTTGCATAGTCAATTCAATTTAAGAAGCATTAGTAAAGACCCAGCTTGCACTGGGAGGAAACAGTGATAAAAATAGGTGGTCTCCACTCTTGGGCTGTTTGCTGTCTGGGAGGGGAAATAAAACCAGCACACAAGTAACTGTAGCATGAGGAGAAATATGACAAGTGCATGAGAAAGTAACAAGCAAACTTCTAAGGAAGCACAGAAGAAGAGAAAACGATTTAGGCTGGGGAAGTTTCTTGTGATTCCGTAGAGGATGTGTTGTGGACTCTATCTTGTAAAGGATCCTAGGAGATCCACTGTGTTAATGAGGAAGAAGGGCGTTAATGAGGAAGAAGTGGAGCAAACAGTAGGAATGAAGCTTGGAGGGCAAAAATGAAGGGTTTTTGGAAAGGATGAGTGGTCCAGGGGTATGGAAAGGGCTGTCCATGAAGGGATCTGTGAGAGGTCAGTCTGGAAGGGAAGGACATGGGCCAGATTGTAAGGCCTTGTATGCCGTGCAAAGAGCTTAGACCTTGTAAGCAGGGCCAGAGCCTCTCAGCGTTTTCCCTGTCATGGCACACATGGGAAATAATGGTGTTTGTACAGCATCCTGGAGTAAAGGGATGAGACTGCCTTTGGCTGGAGACCATGGCCTGGAGCTTCCTAAAGCCCAGGGGGATCAATATCTCAGCACTTCTGTAATTTCTTTGGGGCATACAGGATACCATGGCACACGGGTGAGAACGGGGCCTGGGGGGAATCTCGGCTTTAAGCAATGGGGACTAGAGAGGCTTTCTGAACAGAGGTGTTACAACACCAGAACTTCTTATTAAATGGTACATTCCAAACATATAAGTTGCATAGTCAATTCAACTTAATAAGCATTTACTGAATGTATTTATGTCATGGCTGAAGTCCAGAAAGTGGTGAATATCTGCAGGGGGAAAAGAAATCATTATACATTGGGCTTCTGTTTAGCCTTCTATTTGCAAGTCTAATTATTTAAATAAAGGTGCCTGACTTAATAATATTAATACATAGAAGTACCATTTATATCCATATTTCTGATAGGAAATTCAAGACTTAAGAAATTAAAACATATTCATGTCTGAATGGCCTAAATCAACACATCAGCTTCCAGAATAGGAAGGTCACAAAAATAAACTTGGTCAATGTTTTTCTAACTGTAAATTTTGCTTAAGTTGGTTCTTTGGCTGTAAAATACATTCTCAATTTTTCTAATGCCTCTCTTTAGGGAAACTTTAAATACCTACACAAAACTGAAAATTACAAAAGAAAAATCCTTGTATTCAGCCTAACACTTCACTTTTTTAACCATTTAAGTGTTGAGTAGCTCTTGTGTCTGGCTAGGCTGTTCAAAGGTTTTCCAAAATTCCTATGAATATTCAGTCCCTTGATCTTTCTTTCATGTTCAGCTACACTGACATCTTACAGGAAGGCCTGACATGCATACATCTAATGAGTAAAAGATGGAAAATGGAGTTGGACCCCAAAATTAAAGCAGGTAGTCATTTTATTTTTGTCTATATGTTATCTTTAATGAAGATGATAAAAATAAATTAAAACATTTTAATGCAGAAAGGTTCATAATACATATGATAATCTCCTCTTTCTCTCTTATTTTGGGGGAAAGGAAGTTAAGTTCCTACTTAGCTGATACTACCTTTCATTGTTTTATCTCAGAGGATCAAAGATAATTTTAATAATATTCTACCTTGAACTGCTAGAAAAAGTTAGTATGAGTTGTCAGATTACTTCAATAAATGCATGAATAATGCAGACTTGCTAAAAATGCAAAAACACAAACATGTATGTGTGCATACATGTATATAATAGTGGTGTGCTATTGAGGCAGCTCCCACTGGGTCAAGAAAGCATAGAGTTATGTATCTGTTCCCAACTCCTATTCCAGTGACATCAAGTTAGTAGCTTAAACCTGGCCATGGTGAAATATTTATACCACAGAAATGAGTAAATACTACAAACTGGGGCTTCCCCACCTCCCAAAAAGCTGGTTATTAAACCTTTACTAGCACACATTGAGTGTATATGTATATGTATATGCAAATGGTGCACAAAAATACATGTATGTCTACTATCAGTGTATATAATGTCTGAACTCCTTTAAAAAGGCTTAGAACAATACAAATATAATATATATGCATATATGTATACACATATATTATAATTTTTTTCCAGAAACAAAGTATGAACAGAAACCACAACCATGATTTTGCCCACTTTCTTTTCTGCTGACTAAATTATTCAGTTTCCTCCCACAGTTTAAAGAAATATTGGCAACTCTCTCATGGTCGGTAAGAACTTGAAAAGGTTGACAGATTTATGAGATAAATATAAATTATTAGATACCCTGTCCAGATGACCTTAAGGTTCATTTTGCCTGCTGGGAACGGTTGCACTTTCCATTCAGCTGTGTTAAGGAATCTATTTAGAAAACTTCAAGAACTTAATTTCTGCCTGAGGATGCTATCCTACTGACTGCCTGCCCCTTCGGAGTCAATCCAACAAACCTTCCCCAAGCATAGCAATAAAGTGTGTCCAGAGTGTATATACACATATACATACATATGTATATATGTTGTGTATGTGCATGTGTGTTTATGTGTGTATGTATATTACATATATTCATGTTTTGAGGATTAAGTAGGGCAAGAACAGGTGAAAGGATAAAACAGAATAGGCTTCATTATCAAGAAAGCAACATGGGCAGTGACAAGGAAATGGAAAAGAACAATGCATATTCCAGGAACACAGAATTATATATTGTAGCCAGACAGAAAAAAGGTGTGAGGAAGAAAAGTTGGTCAGTCTGGAAAGGTTTTTTAGGGATGGAATATAAAAGACTTTAAAAGTTTTGCTAAGAATTCTTTACATATTGGTGAGTCCTTGTAGACTCTCATTAGTAGTGGAAATAATATAATCTGATACACATTTTGTCAAAATGAAGAAATGATGGGCTGGAGATCAGGGGCCACAAAATCAGTTGGATCTATTTCTACATCAAAGATGATGGAAGCCGAATCATGGCAGTCGCAGTGGGAGAAAAGGAAAGCACAAAGTAGACAGTGATTTTAGACTTAGAATCATTAAGACTTGACAACTAATTTGAGAATAAGAAGAAAGAGAAGTAAGAAAAAAGTGATGGAGAATGTGAGAGACAGCGGGCTTGAGAAGGAAGATAAAAAGACCTGATGTTTTTATGGTCTCCTCTTTTTTTTTTTGAGTGCTGCTTCTGGCTCTATTCTGTTAACCGAACAATAAAATTAGCTCCTTCTCTGAGGTCCACCTAGTAAAACTTCACTTGCCCTAAGGATTTGACAGCATGGTAGACTTCCCTGAAGATATTGTTTGGAGGTGATGGAGAGCAAAATGCATTTACAATGAAAAAGCGCAATTACAAATTAAATTATAGCCATCACTATCTTTGAAATGTCCCCCAGTGAGTTTGAGCTTTGTGCCCCTTTACCTTACCTGAACTCAGCCTCTCTCCATCTAATTGGTTCCCCTCTCTCCTCTGTCCACTCATCTCTGCAGCCCAATTCTGTTTAAGAAATAGAATATTATTTTAATTGATTAGATCAACTTACCAACATCTCCATTTCCAAAATGGGAGGTATCAGGCTTCATTGACAGTTGGAGAAATAGCCCAGTATCACTGGGCAGAAATCAAATGAACTTCTTTCAGACACAAAATCCCAATTATAACATAAATCAGTCACAGAAATGAAAGTAAAGCATAGAGAATATAGTCAATAAACTGTAATAGCTTTCTATGTTGACAATACCTACACTTATTGGGATGAACATTTAATTATGTAGATAACTCTTGAATAGCTGTGTTGTGTACTTGAAACCAATAATACTGTATATCAACTATACTTCAATTTTTAAAAATAAACCTTTCTCTTCCTCATTACCAGAGAAACAAATAAATTCTGGATGATTCTTCCCCAAGGGAAATTCTGGTGTCAGATGTTGCAGTACTAATATTGTTCTACACCATCACTCCTATTTACTACCTCTTCCCACTCTTTCACCCTGGTCAGGCTTACTTTCAGGGCCAGTGCAGGGGGCAGCCTTCCAGTGTAGGCAACCAGTGTGCTCCAGCCAAGTCAGGAACCAGAGAGAGAAGCCAAAGTGTTCTAGAAAGGTCACAAAACCCTTACATATCTAGCAGTCCCTGGTCTCTTTTAGAGCAAGAAGTTCTAAATGGTATTTTTCTGCCTAAGTTACTAAAATTTTTACCACTGCCACTGAGTGAAACCAAGCCATCTATTGTTGCCTATCTTATTTGACAAATGATCAGTGCCTGAGCTAAATGAAAAGCAAGCATAAATGGGCTAGACAGGAAAAAGCCAATCTCCTAGGGGTGATATGCACTACTTATGCACTACGTAGGCCCTACATATTGAATGGCAGCACACTACCCCAAACAAATCCTTTCTTTGGGCAATCAAATGCTAAAATCAATCAAGAGAAAGTGAATGTTCCAAAATTGTTTTAATTTAGTTTTAATATCAATTCACACTGATTGCCTTCCTTTCCTACCCCTAATCCTCCCTCTAAATTGTTTTTTTCTGTTTAGTTAAAGGGTGTTTTACTGTAGGCACTCATTGTTCAAGTAGAGGGCAGCAGGTCTAGGTATGTGTACAAGGTCAAGGATAATCCAGTGATCAAATCCATTAAATGGTCCTCTATTTTAACTCAGTTAACCTCCATCTGCTACATAGACAGTTCAAAGATACCTTCCCTGAAAATGCAGAGTCAAGATCTATATCCAGCGCCTTGCATGCCGTCTCAAATCCTCTTTGCCCTCCTTTATTCCAACCACTGAAGAGGCAACCAGTTCCACCAGGGCTTTGACAAGCTTCATGAGGTGCAGATTTCAGGGCTTCCTCATGTCCATGCAAAGTGCCTTTCATACCATTCACTTCATGGCCTGGGTCTTCTCCATCACTGTGAAGTTGGATGCACTTGGAAGCAAGCACAGCCTAGAAACGTAGGAGAGTTTCCCCCCCAATGTCTCCCTTGACTAAGGGAGATGGCACTCATGGATAGCTGCTTAACCCTGTTACCTTACGGGAGTACTATTCTCAGATGTATTTCATAAGCTTTCTAACAGGTCCATGGATGGAGGACCAATTGCCCCAAACTGGCCAATTTAATAATACATTCCAATAATGCCTTTGCCTGCCTCCCTGCTTTCTTCTCTCTACTTCTGACGTACTCCCTGAGAACAGTTAAAAATACCTACATGCAAGACTTATCTCAGGCTCTGCTTTGGGGGAAACATGACGATTAGTATGGCAAAATGCTACACCAAATTGCTATTTGTTTTTAGGATAAGAATTGTGTGTCAGAAAATGCCATTATTTTGCCCTCATCCTTGAATGAAAGTTTATCTGTATGTAACAAGTCTTATTGAAAGTTGTTTTCCCTAAAACATGGAACATATTATTCCAGTTTCTAGTAGCATCTATTGTTGCTGAAAAGAAATCTGCTGCCAGACCAGTAACTATCCCAGGCCAATTGCTATTCTTTGTAGAGTAATCTGTCTTTTCACTCTGGAAACTCTAAATTTTTTTCTCTTTATATCTAAAGTTCTGCAGCCTCAAAACAATGTATCTCAAGGTGGATATATTGTTTTTCTTTTTACCCTTTGGAGCACATTTGCAGTCTGAAAACTCATGTTCTTCTTTGATTCAGCATTTACCTCTTTATTTACTGCTTCTGTAAAATTCTTGATCTCTTGTAGAATGCCAGTGGAGGAGAGGATGCAAGCATCCAGTATGGGCTTTTCACTGCTCATTAAAATTTTTATTTGTCTCCATACATTTCATTATGGCTGCATACATTTCATTATTAGTATCATCTACTAATTCTCTCTCTGTATCCATTCCGGGGTTTACTTTGCTTACTGAATATTTCATTTCATGATTATATTTTATATCTCTGAGATTTCTAACTGCTTCTTGTAACCATCTATGCTTAACACATTTCTTTCTGTTCTATTTGCATGCATGCATGTATTTCTTTGTAAAAAAATTCAAACAACTATTTAGGCCCTCAGGTTTTATAAAATTAATTTCATTTTTAGAAAATTCATGTTCCAATTGTTGATTTTTTTGGATGTCTTTCTCAACACCTATTTTGGAATTCTGGTGTCCAGGTGTATTTTTGAGTAAAAAGTTGAAGGATTTTGTTGTTGTAGGTTTTTCCCCCTCTCTCTCTTCCTTCTCCATGTCCCCTTCCCTATTTAACAGTTTTGTAGGTGACTCTATCAGGTGCCACTGGCTGTACACAGACCCTAGCAGATCAGAGAGTTTGCACAGGAATGGCTTTTAGAGACAGCAAGTCCATCCATCCAGCTAAGGGGCATCTTGGTTCACAGGACTACATTGGCAAGTTTTCCCTAGTTGAGAAATTTCCTTTAACCATAGGTCTGGCAGAGGTTTCAACCTCCTTTTACATCTATGAAAGTCCACCGTATCTTTTCCTTTCAAATGAGTCTGATTCCTGTCCCCTGTCTTTCAAAATCCTTTATTCTTGCAGAAGTTAAACCTCCAGTTCTGACCCAGAGCTCAGCAAGCTCGTGGCTCTAATTCTGATCGCCATATTCTAGCTTCATCTATTTCATGAGGATTGTTCATGAGGAAACCTGATTTGATTTCAGATGTTGAGGAATATTATCTTATTGTTCAATCTGGCTATGTATTTTTAATTTTCTCAACACATGTGTTTGGCACAGAAGGGCTTATTCAAGCATGAACTCACTGAGTCATTTTGATAAAAATCTTTTATTTTATCTTCAAGAACAAAAAGAAAAATATTTTAAGTGATATATTCCTTTCAAATCTTAGTTCTGTTACAAAAAACAAATATGAAATAGGAACTCATGTTAAATTGTGAAAGATAACTTTGTAATTTAGATTTTTTAAAATGTGTTTTTCTTTCTTCTGTTAAAGTTTTTGTTATCTCTGGAAACATTTTAAAATGTTGGTGGCAATGTGGTTTTATAGCAATTTTGGTTCTTGACTATTAAGTTATAAATATATTCCACTTTCAAAAAAACAAGCATCCAACATTAAATAAAAAACGGCCCTGGCAATACACTCTGCTAAATGGACTAAATACAAGGCTGAACATAGTAAGTGTAAAGTTAATGGCTGGATTGGAAAGCCACAAAATGCATGCCAACATTCTCCATTTAAACTGTAGGATAGGAAATTTGAAATATGTCTATCTGAAGATCTTTGGCCAAACTTTGTAAAAGGCAATCATTCTTTGACAGACTCCATTTAAAAAATAAAATAGAAAGCACTCAAAAGTAATATGAAAGTATTTATTTTTCCTAATATTTGATCCCAAACATATTTAAAATTTTTACCTTTTTTTTTTTACTTTGCTCACCTTCACACTTAGGCAAAGTGGTAAAACAAACAAACTCTGAATCTAGCAGCAAAACTGGGAGCCAATGGCACCTGTTTCCTTTTTCATGAAGAATTTTACTTTCCCAGGATCACTGCTTTCTTTACTATAACTGGCTACGCACTCTCATTTTCCCTACCCTGGATTCTTGCTAAAGAAGACACTGTTCTGCTTTGCCCAGATCCAATAAAATTTAACCATTGGCTGCAATGATTAACTAGAATATTGGTAACAGGAAAATTTGGGATCCCAAAGCACCCCCACCTGCTCTTCTTCCACACTCTGAATGTCAGGTCACCTTACCTTGATACATCTCCTTTTGGAGTTTGTTCCTCAGTGGGTCTGCTAGTCTAGGGCCAATTTCCACAGAGACTACTAACTAGTAGTAAGGCCCACCTGCAGATTCTTGCCTTCCCAAAAGATGGATCACTTTTGGCAACCATAAATTTCTACAGAAAGAAGGTATCTGTCATAAATCACTGTGTACTTTCAGAGATGGTTTTTAACTCCCCACTGGAAAGTCTGATATCATTGTCTCCACCCATCTCACAGCCTTGTATAAGGATCCAAATAGTGTTATATTTAGAAGAGCTTCGAGGACTGAAAATTCTGTATACATGTAAGGGTATGATTTGTGTTTATCCAAATCTGGATATGAGGTAATCCCACCATGTAATAAACAGTCTGACAGCTCAAATTTCCTGCCACTAGTACTCATTGTCCTCATTGTTTTATTACTGGACTATATATATATCTTGACAGAGCTAAGGGAACACTTCTTCACCTGTCATTCTGTGTCCATTACACTAGTACACACATACACAAGGGAATTCATCATTGTGCAGTTGTGCACAGAACTGCACAGCTTCTACTTGTTTGCTGCAGGAGAAAATCACCCTCCTGTACATAGCACGAAAGACCTTGCACAGTCCGTCTTGAGCCTCTACAACTTCTTAAATTTCTCCACCCCCTAGAGTCATTAGTCATAAGGAATGCTTAAAATTCCCCATATGTGCCATGATATCACAAATTTCCATGCCTTTGCATATGTTACTCCCTCTGCCTCGGACTTGCTTGACCTATAATGTTCCGATCAAACCCCTGTAAACCTCAGTTCACCTTCTCTGAGATGCTTCCGTGAGTCCCTGGTAGACTTGAACACACCTCACTTTGGAGATTAGCCTGATATATTATCCTCTCTGCAAAATAGTCTGTCCTCCCAAAACTGTGAGCTCCCTTTATAGATCCAGGATCTGGTTCACAGAAGGCAGCTAGTAGATTTACTCAGTGAATAAGCCAGTGAAAACGAATCTTGTGAAAAAAACAAGAGTTAGTCAATAAGTACTGGATTCATTCATTCATTCATAACCAAGCATTTATTGCTATTCTAACGTGTGAAATGTTGGGCCATATTTATTATCAAGGATGCAAAATGATCTCTCCTGTCTTTAAGGAACTTACATTCTATTAAGGGTGGTAACACAAACAAATAGCAATTCAAGGCAAATTTTCAAACCTATCTCATTGTCCCAAGTCCTCTTTTCAAAGGAATTTTTCTATTTATACTATGTGGACACTTGGGACCTTTCATCTAGAGTTTCTTTTCCTTGGCTTAAAATTAAATTTAAGTAATCCTGATGGAATTGTGGTCCGTTTTCTCTGGTTCCTGCCTATTGTTTGCCAAGAACCCATGGGCATAGTGGTGAGCTATCGCAATACCCAGGAGATGCCACACAACGCTGAAAAGTATTTTTTGATTGTGCCTAAATAGCAAACAGCAATGGACTCCTCAGCCATTTTCCTGCCACCTCAGTAGTTGCCTTTAAACATGAAGAGTGATTTCCGTTTTGCATTTTTCCCTTTCAGATTAATAAAATCCCAAGCTGCTGAACGCTGATGAACTACCTACCTATGGAATTTCCTTTTGGGGTTTTTTTTCCTCAAATTCAAGACACTGTGTTTCACTTCCTCCTTGATATTTTTTTTCCAGAAATATTTTTATCTTTCTTATAGTTTATCCAAACTTAAGTAATGGGCCTGCACCCTGGTGATACGGATCTTGAGTTGACAAAAGGACCCTTCTAGTGGTTTGATGCAAATTGCAAGTGAACACTCACTAGTCAGATAAATTACAAAGGTGGTTCCTAAAATTACACAAAGGCGCCCCCTTCAGGCAGAGATATTGCAATAAAAAATGCTCGCATGGGGTAAATGATCACAAAAAGGCAGTTATCCCAGCCCCACTGGCTACACCTTGGTGAGCAAACGTGGACTGTGTAGAAACTCCCACTAGCCCTCTAGACTGTACCTGTCACAGGCTGAGTTCCCTGGGTGAAGGTGAAGGTGACCACGCAGGTGTCTTATTAGGGAGAACTCTTGGAGCCACAACTGTGGAAGGAAAGAGGTGGGGAGGGAAGGAGAGGGAAGGGAAAGGAACAGGACTGAGCAGAGGGAGAAGCTGAGCTGTGATGCAGTCTCCCCAGAAACCTCGGGGGTCCCTGCTGGGAGATTTGAGGTTGGAAAGACCATTCAGAGCTGTCCCAAGTTGGGGCAAGAGTACTGGGCCTTTAGACCTCCGTGTTGATTAGTCTGTGAGTGCAGGCAACCCCCCAGAAAGACTCACTTTAGCAGAGGCAGTCCTGGAAGGAAGCTAACAGCTGAGGACATCTGCCTGCTGGTGGCACTCCCAGCAAACAGGTGATTAAGTCCCTCATTCCTGAAGGAGTCTTTGGAAAACATGCTGGAGTTTCCACCGTAGATCTGCACACCTGAATTCACCCTTTTTTGGCTATGGATGGCCCTCCAGCACTGCCTGTCCATGCTCTCCATGTTAGCATGCCCTGCACTTCTCAGAGCCATGACTGTGTCCACAGATTTGTCAGTACTGTATAGTCAGGCCTGATGTGCTCCTGAATCCTCAGGAGAATGGAAGAAAATGAGGTACAGCCAAATATCACCATCCTATTCTGTTTTTGTGTCTGTTCTTTAGATGGCACTGCCCAGGTATCAAGGATCTATGGCAGTTGCAATTCTTCCTTGCTTAGTGAAAAGACATGTGGATTAAAAGATGGCTCTGCTCCCCTCTCATCACTCTTATTTGCAGCAACCAGGTTCTATCTTTGATTACTGAACACGAGCTAACACAGAAGCATGCCCTGGGTATGTGAACTCAGCCTCCCCCAGGAAAGGCAGGTCGGTTTCCATATCTTGCCAAATGAGGGTTGAACATGTGGTCCCCAAAGAGAGTCTTTGCGTCCTCCATGATGCTTGGTGTTGAGGGTTTACACTGGGGGTGTAAATGTCAAGGAAGAAAAGCCTGATCACATCTGTTACCTCTCGGGTGAGAGAGTGGGGGTTCTGGGACCTTCTTCCCTCACCTGTCACTGCTCTTAGCCAGTCATAGACCACACGCAGACTGCAGATGGGAAGCTTTGCTATGTACAGTTTTCCCTGATGAAGCATGCCATCTTAAACTGAAGAAGTTAACAAGTATTTATTGAGTACTTGTTATATAGTAATATGCCAAGCACTGTGCTACTTCCTAGAGATAAGTAGTGAATAAAAACAATTAGATGCAGTTTCTATCTTCATGAGTTTATAGTCTCATGAACAGACCTAGTGTGTATCTAATTATAGATAATTGCAGCTCTCATAGATGACTGCAGGGAAACTGCTTGGTGCGTGGAGGGCGTATCAGAGAGGAATTAGCCCAGTCTAGGAATCCAGGGACTGTTTCCCTAAAAAGTGGACAGTCAAATTCAAAGTTAAAAATCAACTGAGAGTTAAATCAGCAAAGGATGGAGGCTAGGGGAACAAGATGCATTAAAGGCAGCATGATTAAAGAGAGCTGGACAAGCATGGTGGGAAATAACAGGTCTTCAGACACAAAACCTAAACATGCATCAATGCCAGAGTTTCAGGCACTCCACTGCTACACAGCAGGAGAAATGGGAGGGCAGCTGACAGTTCTGCAGTCTTCACACTCTATTTTCCAGCTATGCACCATGATCATGAGTCTGCCTGTACCCATGCACATCAGCCTTTCTACTCTCCATTACCTTGAGTAATGAGATGATCACTATAACTCAGAGGAGCAAAGAAGCTAAGATAGAAGAGTAGAATGTTAAAACAGGTAAGTGTCTCTAGAGGTCAATTAATCAAATCCCTCATTTACAGATGAGGAAACTGCAACCCAGAGAGATTGAGCCCAAGGTCACACCCACCTTCAGTTGTGCAACACAGACCAGAATCAGCCTCCTTGGGCCTAAGTGTTCCTCCTGAGACAGGTGCTACAACACACTTGCCAGAGCTTACCTATTGGATATGCCAATACCAGTTGCATGAGGCATATTTTACATTTGCACCTCCCATACCCTCTTTACAGAGACTTTTCCTCCTGGCTACAGCCCTTCAGATCCTAAATTCATTTGGTAGCATGTGCCACCCCAGATATAGCTGATGGCTGGTCTTAGGCCATAGCTGATTGTAACAGAACTGGAGCTCTAGCAGGTGTTACGTCTGCTGCTCCACATTCCATCAGCCTTTCCATTTTTCTTTATGATCAGAACCTTACTTTCCAGTGGAAGATTTTTCCATCTTCACTGCCACCCCTAGCCCAGTCACTCAGACTATCCCACCAGGGCACCTCTCAGGACTTTGCTGCTGTAGCTCTAGGCAAAGTTCTGCCATCACTATGTTAGATGGACAGCCCAGCCCCCAACTCCTGCGAGGTGGAGTGAGAACCCTGACCACCCTTACAACCCAGGGGCAGCCCCTGAATTAGCCAGACCCAAAGCCAGCAAGACCCACTCTCTGGTCTTCCCAATTAGGGAAGTCAGTACATTCCCTTTTCTACATAAATGACTTTATACAGAGTTTCTGTCACTTACCACCAAAAAGAGAATTTGTGTATAATGAAACATCTATGATAGATACATCTTTTTTTTTGAGAGGGCATTTCTCATATTTATTGATAAAATGGTTCTTAACAACAATAAAATTCTGTATAGGGGGGTCAATGCTCAATGCACAATCATTAATCCATCTCAAGCCTAGTTCTCATCAGTCTCCAATCTTCTGAAGTATAACGAACAAGTTCTTACATAGTGAACGAATTCTTACATAGTGAATAAGTTCTTACATGGTGAACAGTACAAGGGCATTCATCACAGAAACTTTCGGTTCTGATCACGCATTATGAACTATAAACAATCAGGTCAAATATGAATATTTGTTTGATTTTTATACTTGATTTATATGTGGATCCCACATTTCTCCCTTTATTATTATTATTATTTTTATTTTTAATAAACTGCTGAAGTGGTAGGTAGATGCAAGATAAAGGTAGAAAACATAGTTTAGTGTTGTAAGAGAGCAATTGTAGATGATCAGGTGTGTGCCTGTAGACTATGTGCTAATCCGAGCTAGACAAGGGCAATAAAACAGATAGATACATCTTTTTAAAAAATGAACTGGTTGGCCCCGTACCAAGCAGAATT